TTGAGATTTTTCTGTAGCAAGGAAGTCTTTCGTGAGATCAAGCGCTGTAGGTGCGGATGGCGCGGGAAGTAATGTTGATTCGCCAAGCACCTCAGCGGGTACCATTTCAGCTATCACTGCGTCGGGTATTGTGGGTTCGACGGTAATAGTTTCCACCACTTCGACAACCTTTGAAAAGTCTTCAGTTGTAGGCTGAGGCCGTGGTTCAGGCTTTTTGACTACATCGAAATCCTTAGCAGGTTGGGAAGGTTCAATTACTTCAGGTTTTTTAACCGCTTCGGATACTTTGACAATTTCAGGCTCTTCGACATCCTTTTCGGGTTGCACCTCCTCTATCGATATCGTCACTTCGTAATGAGATTTTTCGGTGGCTAGGAAATCTTTCGTGAAATCAAGCGTCGAAGTTGCGGATGGCGCGGGAGGTGATTTTTCTTCATCAGGCACCTCAACGGTTTCTAGTTCTGCTATCACTGCATCGGGTATTATAGGTTCGAAGGTGGCAGTTTCCACCACTTCGACAACCTTTGAAAACTGTCCAGTTATAGGTTGAGGCTGTGGTCTATGCTCTTCGGCCTCATCGAGTTCCGTAACAGTTTGTGGAGCTTCAACTACTTTAGTATCTTTAAGCTCGCCGGTATCATTTTGACCAATTTCTGTATTTTTGACGACAGTTGTTTCTACCACCACGGTGGTGTTGATTGTTTTCTCTACAACTTGCTGAGGTTCTGCGGTAAGTTCTTGTTCTTTAGCTGGCTCAGCTCCTACCACTACGTCCTTTAGCTCAGACCCATTTACCAACACCGTTGATTTTTCTTGTAATGACTTTTCAGTAGCCAAGAAATCTCTTGTGAGATCGAGTGCTGTTGGCGCAGCTGAAGCCGCAACGAAAATTTTGGTTGAATCTAGCTGAGATTGAGAAGTTTCTTTGACTAATTCAGGCTGAGCTTCAGGTTTCACAAGCTCCGTACCTGCTTCAAGCACATACACCTTTTCAGCTTCTACAGTGATCGGCTGTTGTATCTTTTCTGTTTCGAGGAAGTCTATTGTGAGATCAAGCGTCGTTGGCGCCACTGGAGCGACAGCCGAAGGCGCTACGAAATCGACTTCTTCAAACGCGTATGAGGTGTCAGTGTGTGGAGCAGGAAGCGTTGCTTCCTCACCTTCTGTGATATCAACTGTGACTGTTTCAATCACACCGACTTCTTTGGTTGGCTTCTCTTTCGGTTCTTGCGCTTCAACAGCTGTCGGCTCTTCTACTTCTTCAATCACTAAGGATTCTATCTTTCCTTCCTCAACCTTATCCGTGGGCGTGGGTTGAATAACTTTTTCCGACTTTTCTTGTGTTGCAATCACAATGGGCACGATGAATTCATTCGAAACCTCCACCTGCGGTACATTTTCGGTACTAGTAGTCTTAATAGTGGTTGTTGTTGTTTCAAAAACACTCTGTACAGTCGTTGAAGGCTCTGAAACTTTTTCAAAAACAGTTGTGGTCACCTGAGCTGGTAGCTCTTCAGTCTTCACAACATCTGCGTATGTGCTTCCTGTCACTTTCACTGGTGGATGTTTCTCTGTAGACACGCGTCCATTAACCAGGAAATCGGTAGTGGCGTCGACAACTTCTTGTCGCTTGGACGTCTGGAAGTCTGCAGTCTGACTCACTACTAATGTTGTCCAAGGCACCTTATCTTCGGACTCGCGCACATTCACAATCGGCGCTGGAAATACTGTTGTCTCAGTTTGTATGAGTGCGGACCATGTTGTGGGTTGATCTGTCGGCGATTGCACAGTAACTTCCTCCGCAGGCTTTGGTATTTGCGAAATGTTGTCTGTCTCCGGTAACTCCTCAACGGGCTTTGTCTCATTTTCTGTTACTGAAACCTTTAATTGTGGTTTCAACTTGGCAGACCAATATGATGTCTGACTGATAAAGGCGTCGGAGGTTGTAATTGCTGTAGGAGTAGACTCAGTTATAAGCGCTGAGCTTTCAGTTGGTACTTCATGCAATTCTTCCAGTTCAGCTTCATCCGCATGTTTTTTCTTATTTTTCTTCTTGGGTTTTTTGGTTTTCTTCTTCTTTTCGGGTTCCAACGCTATAGTAGTGCTTATCTTTAAGCTTTCGTCAACAACACTTTCTGGCACAGCTTCTGTTGGCTTGGCTGTACTTTCTTCATAAAGTGGTCGTATGTACTGGACGGGCTCTGGCACATTTTGCGCTGCAATAGCCGCCCATGATAAACCGGTCGTTAGTGGTGTAGTTGCTCTTTGTGGCTCTACTACTACGGTTTCTTCTACAACGATGTTTTCTAACTCTTCAACTAGTTGCGGTGGTACCTCTTTCTTTACAACTTCGGCTATTTCTTTTGGCACATCTTTACTGCGATCGCGATTTGCCTGTTTTCCATGCTTGTTCTTCTTGGTTTTCTCAGGTTTTTGATGGTGAGAAGGAACGTCTTCTTGAACTGATTGCTGTGAGCGTGAACGTGATCGTCTGCATCGTTTTTCTTTTTTAGATACACACTCAAGGAAGCCTTCGCTGTCTGTTGTTGGTGGCGCTTCCTCAGTAATTGTGGGAGCTTCGGTAACTTTAATGGTTGGACGTTCTATTGTGCGTGATGGTCTCGTTGGCGCACTGGTACTCACAACATCGCTGGTTTCATGTGTTACGAATATATTTTGTTGTGGCTCCTGCGGCGCGAAACTTCTAACGATAGATGCCCAGGATGAAGTGCCTGGTTCAGTGGAATGTTTGTTTTCATCCTTCATTATTTCCTTCCATGTCATTTCCGATGCCCATGATGAAGTTTTCGGCTCCGGTTCTGGTTCTGGCGTTGGCTCAATCTCTTCACTTTCAATCATATCTCTCCATGACATTTCAACTGTTTCAGTGACACATTGCGCATCTTCTATCTCTGTTTCAGCTGCAGTTGGCGCTTTAGGTATTTCAGGTTCAGGTTCGTTCACGGCTTCTGCGGTAGAAGCTTCCATTGTAGGCGCTAACTGTACTGGGTGTGTCTCGACAATGGGTTCCGATTGCATTTGCTCGAACTTCACAAGTTCTTTGGTAGATGCCGGAAATTCCGATTCATATGGCATTGATGCCTCTACTTCAGGCGCAAAGATTCGCGCAGTAGTTGGCTCACTTTCAAGCTCTTGATAGCGTATATTAGTATTATCGACCAAACCAGATTTTCTAACCACTTCAGCGTATGTTTCGGACCTAGACCAAACTGAAGGTGGTGCGGTAGGAGCTACTTTCTCTTCGTGAATAATAGTGTCCGGTTCTGGACTTGGTTCGGAAACGTGTTCCTTAGTAGTTTGGGTTACTTGTGGCTCCTCTTCTACGACATTTGACTTTTCTTTCTTCTGCTTTTGCTTCTTTGGCTTTTCTTTTCGTTCTTTAGGCCGCGCGGTTTCAGGTAGTTCATTGACTTCCTCCTCTTTAGGAATAGTCACTTCGGTTTCAATCAAAGCGACGCTTTCTGGAGATTGTTCTTTCTCTTCTATCGCAATTGCGGCATCATTTGCTGTTTCTCTTACAGTCTCAGTTATTACTGGACGCACAACGTCCTCTTCTTGTTCCTGGCTAACTATGGCTGACGAAGAGAGGGATACTTCAGCCGAAGTCTCATCTGATTTTATAGTTCCTCCAACTGGTTCAGCTGGTTTTTCATCCAGATCGGCATTTTGTTTCTTAATCTTTTCTTTTCTTGGTTTTCCGCGAGACTTTTCGGTGAGCTGCTTTTCATGTCCGATGAATGTATGTATTGTGTCCTCACTAGCTGCATCATCTAGCGATTTTACTTCTGGAATTGGTATGACATCTTGGTCAAGACTCTTCGTCGGTTCTTTTCTGCTTTCAACTATTTCCGTTAGTTCGTGTATACTTGTTATTGGATATTCTACAACATTTTGACTAATGATAGTAGACCATGCCATTAATGGCGTAACTGCAGGTGTAGCCGCATGCTCAACAACTGTTGGCTTATCCGGCTTCGTTTCTTCAACAGCAGCTACTGTTTCAACTTTCTCTGGTTTTTTCCTTTTTCGGCTTTTGCTTCTTGGACTTCTCCTTGGATGGTTTGCTCTCACCAGATGTAGTAAAGCTTTCTGTGACTTCTGAAACAGTCTGTGGGATTTCTGTGTGCTCTTCTACAAATTTCACCGACTTTTTAGTCTCAAGCGCTTCTCTCTTTTCAAAAA